CAGGAGAGCATGGAAGCGAAACAGGGTCCCCCAAGCCAGTACATTCAGATGAATCATCTGAGGAAGGTCGCATCGACCCTGGTCGCGATCTAATCCACGTTCCCCAAATGGCCGATAAACGATACAGCTGGGAAGAAGATCGATCATGACAATGCTCCAATCAATGATTTGTGAGGGGCGAAATCGCATTTCACCAACACGATTCTTTATTTTGATGGCTTCCACATCTTGAGCGATCTTTTATACCGTATTTTTGTAATTTTTTTTTGAAAGTAACAATAGCGAAGGAGTTTTGGTAACCGTCAAATTTATTTCGACAAATATGAGAAGGGGTGCAATCTGGAACCGGAGTTATTAGTCTGTCCTTTACATTCATTGCAATTTGGGACTTGAATGCTCTTCTCGCTTTTCTTTCCTCTTTTTTTTTTTTTTTGGATTTTGTTCTGGGCACAAACTTGGATACTCGGAGCATGTGGAGCAAGGTTCGTTCGCCATATATATCCTTACGTTCTTATGAGATGGAATGGAATTGAGCAAGAGATGTGTTGTGGAGGGGACGTGGTAGGTGCAGAGACTATGGCATGAAGAAGGGGTGTGAACTGTGTTCAGTGGCACCAAATGGCAAGATAGATGGTAGACGAATGCTGAATACCGACATCATCATCAGTTGGAGCACCGATTTGATTTGCACCCTGTCATCTTGAAATCGCGCGAGGTCTCGAGACGTATGTTGCAATTGTCTCGGTCTATGATATGGATCCACCCCTTACTCTTGAGTAAAGCGTGTCTGTAAAGCGTTCTAGTAAACTGATTTTTCTAGCCGTGGCTCATCACCAGATTTCCTGCCACCAAGTAATGCCATCCAAAATACGCTTCCTCTCCACCCCATCCCCACCCTCGATGTAGGGATCAAAAACGGCATGCTTACATGCATCTGCCATCTTGGTCGAGCCCCCGCATACAGCGAAGATGGCCTTCTGCGGAATCAACCCCTCCAACAATTTAGCTTCCTTGCGTATCAAATCCTGCACATATATCTTCTCCCGCTGGTCTCTGGAAAACGCCGTAAACACAGTAAGCTTGTCTCCAGCGAGTGCGTTCCATTCTTCGGCAAAGAAGTAATCTGCGTCCTTGTTACGGTTGCCGAAGAACAATATCATGGGGGCAGAGGACTTGTGCGTCATTCGTTCGTGGATGAGTGAGCGGACGGGGGCGACGCCTGTGCCTGTTGCCATGGCTATGAGCGGCCGTTGGGCATTTACGGCGCCGTGGATGGGGGACAGAACAGGTTTGAGAGTAACAGTTAGGGGGGTGCTGGGCGGCAGGTGGGTTATGTAGCGGGAGCAGAGGCCCTCTCGAGGCTTGCGCAGGATGGTGCGGTACTTGACGAGTGCGACTAGGAGCTCTATTCGCGTGGCTGGAGATGGGGATGCCGGGGTGAGGTGCTTGCCGCCGTTGGCAATGCTAAAGTCGCGGCCGCGGATGAGTGGGAATACTTCGAGGAGGTGCGAAGGGGGAACGCGGACCGAGTAGAACTCCTCGAGGACTTCGATGATGGTTCTTCGGGAGCGGGTGGCGTAGTCAAAGTATTCGTCCAGAAATTCGGTCGTTGTGAATTCGAGGAGGCGCTCCTTGTGGTCCTCGTTGTCGGAGAAGTAGGAAAGGCTTTTGAGGAACGAGCGCCGGGGCACAGCGTTGATGTCGATGTTGTGCAAGAGTAAGTCGCGGAGGGTAGATGGGGAAGGAGGACATAATGTGGGAGGGAGGGAGCAAAGAGATAAATCGAGAGGGTCGTCGGCGATGGCGTCCCATTCCATCAGGGTGATGACTTTTTGCACGTCTTCGGGGAAGTTTTTGGGGTAAATGGTCAGACAGTCGCCTGGGTTGACTTGCAGGGAGCTGGGGATGTCAAAGGACACGAGGCGTACATCTTGCCAGTGCTCTTCGGGAGTGAGTCGTTTGTTTCCAACGAGGGTGGCTTGCAGTCCGTAGGGGAGAGGTAGTTGGTTGAGTGGCGGTGTTGAGGGTGGTTTCTTGGTGTCCCCATTGAAATGAGACTTTCTAGACACCTCGGCGCGTTTGTCGATGGCGGGTGCTAATGACCATTTTGGAGGAAGCATCTGATTCTCGGGTACGGCACCTCGTCCCTTTGGATCAGGGTAGTACTTTAATAGATGTTTGCGGAGGCCATCTGCCCAGCGCACAAAGCTTCCGTCGATACTATTGGACGTTAGATGCAGACTTGATATGGCATTGGAAAGGACATACCCTTCCGGGAATTGCTCATCAGCTTCGCACGGCTCAATGAATGTAGAGGCTCCTAGTTGGTCAAGACGCCGGATAAGCTTTCTGGCAGCCCAGTTGAATCTACGCATGAAGTTAGCCAATAGTTGGTGATGGGCCAACTGATGCAACTCACTTGAGATAGGTGCTGTCACCTAGACCAACGCACGAGTACTTCATTTGGCCCAAACAGTCAGGCGGCAGCTTCTTGCGGAGCAGCTTCTTCCAAAATAAGAGGGAGTTGTGTGGCATGTCACCCTGTCCGGTTGTTGAGATGACAAACAAGACGAACTGATGCTGGAGGAGTTCATTCTGCGTGAAAACAAGGCGCTTAGCAAAACCGGGGAGTGACCGAGTCAATTTGCTGCACAACTTACCAAGTTCACATTGTCTAGCTCCTCGACGCGGCTGGTAAAGCGCAGTCTCTGACACAACTTGCCGAGCTCTTCGGCCATATCCTGGGCATTGCCAGTCTCGGAGCCGTACAGGACCAGGACGGTCCTGTCTGAGCTGGTCATGCCGCCAGCGTGTTTTGTTTGCTCTTGGGCAAAACGATGCGTGGAATGGGAAGGGCTAGCTAGGTGGCTGCTCAGCAAGCCGTATACTCATGAGAAACGCCGTCGTGGGGCGCCCGCTAACGTGTGTAACGTCGTTGATGACAATGAACTGGTTCGTGAGAAGGTTGTGAGCAGGCTTGTGATGGATTAAAACTCGGCGCTCCATGGGTCCGATGCCGGTCGGTGGCGTTGACCAGGCCGACCGAGATCTTATCAATCAACGGGAGGTTGCATCGCAATCTGTTTTGACGACACCAATGACGTTCACGGAACATCTACAATGGACGAAACGGGCGCCGTATAACTGCCATCTTGCGTGGTAACTTTCAATCAGATTTTGCGAGGCTTGTGCGGGAGTGATTCACGTGCTCTTTACAATGTCTCCAGACGCACAATGATACGATGCTTCAATGTTCAGTAGCGGTTTGCCGCTGGCAGAAAATCCACTGGCTGACATGCACCAGGGCTCTGAGTCTCTGACGCTGTACTCCGTACTCCGTAGAGTGACTTCAGTTAGCCTGAGCTCATCGGCCTGACTCGTCACATTGGATTTGCGCTGCCTCAATTTGCGCATTACACGTCGTAGCAGCGAAGTTGTTGCCGGGGAAGCACGCCGTCGCCACAAGCGCTCACACCAACCAGTGTTGTAAAATTAGCTCCCCGCATGGATTTGCGTCCTGCGCGTAATGGTGTGTCGCAGTCATTAGCATGAGCAGCAAAACATTGTGGTAGTACATAGAGTCGTCACTCATCTATCCCTGTCTCGTGGTCTAGCTCACTGAAGGCTCGGGATGAGTGGACCTGTGGGACATTGGCATGGGTGCTGGTGCTCCGTCAGTGAAGGCGGCGTCTGATGGATTTGTTCGTGAAGGCAAGATGACGGGAGGGCATAGGGCAAGATTCACATCAAAGAAGATGAAGATGGCGAGTACTTCAGCCATCAATTCAATGGCCATGGCCGATTTGTGCGTCTGGGCAGCCTTCTGGGGACTGGCTAAGGGTAGGGCTTCGCCGCACATGCATGATTCAACGGGCAAGAGCGACTGACCGAACTTGTACGCAGATTGAAGCCTTGGAAGACAGTAACCAGCCTGCCAAGTGGGTGGGTACTAGGCACTCAAGCCGAATGCCCAGACCCACCAGGCCAGCGACTGTCCTGTGTCATACAAGACGGCAGGTGTGCCTGAAGGCTGTGAAAAAGGAAAACTTGTGTTTGTGAAGAGGACACTCGTCAAATAAAGGAGAGGCTTTCATCTCGGAGAGTAAACGGACTGGACAAAGTGTCCATGGGGAAATGTGACGTGCCTTGCGTGTCCTGGCCTTCCTTTGTACACTTCATCTCTTTCAAGGCTGCTGCTGATGTTTGAATGTACGTACATACAATACACATGACGGACATGCAGGATGTGCAGCGTCAAGCGTGCGGTCATGCATGGAAGGAGCTAGAACGGCCACCGCCTCCCCCCCGCATTGGCCGTCGTGCTCAAGTGCTTCTGTCTGGTCGCTTATGTCTTCAGTGCTGGGCTGGAGTTGGCTTGTGGTTGGCCAGTGGCACCAGAGTCAAGTCCCAAATTTGAATTGACTGTTTTGTGGCAGGTACAGTCAGCTGTTGTTACTGGTCGCCAGCAAGAAGCACCGCGACATCTGGTAGCCTCTGGCAGGGACAAATGCCAATAACAGAAGCCCCCCCTCGCTACTCACGGCGCACACTCGCATCCCAGGGAAGGCACTCTTGCTGAACAGCCCCAGCACCGCCTGTCCTTCCCGCCCTGCTTGGTCCAGATGTCCCTGCTTGTCTTTGTTTGGTCCCGCACCCTGCCCACTGCAGCAGCCGCCCCCAGCAAACGCCAGCCCGAAAAATTATTTCCTTCAGATACGCGACTCCTGAACACCTTCTCCCCTTTTCCTTTCTCCTCATCACACAACATCAGCCAAACTTGTGACTCCGCGCAACGCTTGCCGTCTGTCTATTTCAACCCCATCTAGGGCACGAAGCTACCCTGATCAATCTCCCTCCTCATTGCAACAGAGTTCAATCCACGAGCTTTTATATCAACCCACCACGCTCTTTCGGACGTCGCTTTCGCACAAGCCCAACGTTCGAACGTCATCATCCCCAAAACTTACACACAGTCAACCATCCTCCATCCAACCATCAACATGTCTGCTACCAACGTGGAGAAGGCCACCGATGCCGCTGTCAATGACGTTGCAAATACTCTGAGCAATACCTCAATCAGCCAGCCTGCCGACGACAAGGCCGCCGCCAACGAGGCTGCCTCGGCCAGCGCTGCGGAAGGCCGCCGTCTCTACATCGGCAACCTGGCCTACGCGACAACTGAGGGGGAGTTGAAGGACTTCTTCAAGAGCTATCTTGTGTAAGTGTGCCCTTGGCTAAACCCTTGACGAGAATGATGTTGCGGGCTCCTTGCCGGATGGCAAGTGACATGGCCAGCCTTTGCTTTGATGTGGCCCCGAGGGACGTTGCAAGCTCACTTGCCTTTTGTCCTGATGGCAAAATATGTTGCCATCATGGAACGGAGCATTTGTGATAGCCGCGCTGTTCACTTGACTAGCATTCAAAATCTCGCGCTTTGGGCGGTATCCAGACCTCTTTGCTAATAGTGCTCACAGCGAGTCTGTCTCGATCCCAAAGAACCCTCGCACTGAACGCCCTGTGGGCTACGCCTTTGTTGACCTCTCAACACCTTCTGAGGCTGAGCGTGCTATTGCTGAGCTCTCTGGCAAGGAAATCCTTGAGCGCAAGGTCTCTGTGCAACTCGCCCGCAAGCCCGAGCCTGCTGGTGAGAAGACTGAGGGCGCCAACGGTGAAGGTTCAGGTGCTGAGGGATCACGCCGTCGGGCCTCTGGTCGAGGTCGCGGACGTGGCCGCGGCCGTGGAGGACGTGCTGCTCGCGGTGGCCGCGCTGGTGTAAGTCTCCCACGACGTCCAAAGAGAATACACAGACGAAGAGTTAACCCAACTGTTGTGACAGGATGCCACCGAAGAGAAGAAGGAGGGTGAAACTGCTATTGCCGCCACCGATGCCGCGGCCGCCCCTGCTGAAATCGAGGGCACCACTGAGGTTCAACCATTGACGGACATCACAAACCACCATCAGAACAAGACTGACTCGGAAACAAAGAAGAATCAGACTCGACCCCAGCGTGAGCGTCGCGAGCGCGGCCCCCCTGCCGATGGTATCCCTTCCAAGACCAAGGTCATGGTTGCCAACCTCCCCTACGACTTGACGGAGGAGAAGGTGAGAAGACATTTCCATTTTGGTGGTGGGAACTGCGTAGCAAGAGTTGAAAGTTGTGCTGACACGTCTTCTTTAGCTCATCGAGCTTTTCAAGGCATACGAGCCTTCCTCTGCCAAGATTGCCCTCCGACCTATCCCCCGATTCATGATCAAGAAGCTTCAGGCTCGCGGTGAGGCTCGTAAGGGTCGTGGATTTGGATTCGTCACCCTTGCCTCCGAGGAGCTTCAGCAGAAGGCTGTTACCGAGATGAATGGCAAGGAGATTGAGGGCCGCGAGATTGCTGTCAAGGTCGCCATTGACAGCCCCGACAAGACTGATGAGGAGGCCAACGCTCCTCAGGAGGAGAACAAGGAGGCCACTGAGGCTGCCACCACCACTGCTTAAGTGGCGAGCCCTGTCTTGTTGTTTTGACAGGCAACGGTTACGCTAGATGACTCGGGACGTTTCCTTGCCTGAATGAGAATAATTACGATGATTTTCCATATCACTTATGGTAGATGCTGGTTCAACTTTTAAGAAGACAAGCGGTTATGGGCACTGCTCCATTTGTTTTACCTGAGAGACATTTCATCACACAAGCTATGTCTATGTGGGTGGAGTCTGGCGGTTATTTGGGATGGCAGTGGTTTTATTTGTCTTGCTTGTTATGAAAATTTAATATTTTAACCTCATGAGAAAACTAAATGAGTAATGCATGACTGATGTGCGAAGAGGAGAATGGATCTGTAGTGACATTCTATGAACTTAGCCCACCTGGGCTGCGACGATGCACAGTAGGCCCTTTCTCCACAGCCATTGGACGATACATTGAGTGATATTGCCGTCAATGCACTGAGGTATAGAGTGTCGGGCCTGACCTTGAGCGAGCATGTAAATGGCATTCAAATATCGATCTATTCCCAGATGGAACGGTGAAGTTGCAACGTTATAGACCAAGTAGTGGTGATTGCGTAAACGGAGTACATGCTCTTAAGTACCTAAGTAGGTAGACGAATTATGTGGCCCCGCCCATAGCATTCAAGGTTCAATCCACAGTTTGAAAGTTTGCTGTACCAGAAGTTGGCTGGGCTGATGGCCCGGGATTGGACTCCTGGAGCCACTTGGCCTTGGCCGGTAGCATTGACGACAAAGGAGAGAGGAGGAGGGGACTGGGTGTGCCACAACTCTTCACAAGGCGGCAGCCACCACATGTGCATGCCAAAAACAGGCGTCACCTGTGTTCCTGATTTCTGATTTCTCCATACCACATAGCCCGAACCGTCGAGAATACCAGACACAACAAACATACGCACTTGCATCCAAAACTCCTGGCCCGCACCTCAATCGTACCTCGACCGCTCCCGCGCGTCGCCACACAATGGCGTCAAAGGCCATGTGGGAAGTCGACCCTGAGACGAGGTCCAAGGTTCGCTCATGATTTCCCAAGCAACCTGATCAACTGGCAGACCAGCCCGTTCCCGTCATGGACACGCCTACAAGGAAACGGTGCATGCTAACGGCAAAATATACAGCTCGCCGCCCTTCAGAAAGAATCCAAAAACAACATCTGCTGCGACTGCAGCGCGCCATCTCCTCAATGGGCATCCCCCAAATTCGGTGTCTTCATCTGCCTCTCCTGCGCCGGCGTACACCGTGGTCTTGGTGTCCACATATCCTTTGTGCGCAGCATCTCCATGGACGCCTTCAAAGCGAGTGAGATTGAACGGATGAGGCTCGGTGGCAACGAGAGGTGGAGGACGTTTTTCGAAGAGCACGAGGACACCCAGATGCGAGGAATTACCTGGGAGGATGCGACCATTGCAGAACGATACAGTGGCGACGTAGGCGAGGAGTGGAAGGAGAGACTTTCGTGTAAGGTGGAGAACCGAGAATATGTTCCTGGCGAGAAGAAGCCTGCTGCTCCTGCGGTGAAGCCTGCGTCATCACCTGCTCTGGGAGGTCAGAGAGCTGGATCGAGGACAGGGACACCGTTGAGCAATTCGACGAGTCGGAGCGAGAGTCCTGGTAACCGTGGCGCTGGCGGTAAGGTCAAGGTTGACGATAGGTACTTCTCAAGATTGGGAGCAGAGAACGCCTCGAGACCAGACGATGTTCCGCCGAGTCAAGGCGGCAAGTATGCTGGCTTTGGAAATACCCCTGCACCTGCCAAGGCGGGTCAGGCTGGTATTCCCAACTTTGATGAGTTGCAAAAGGATCCCATGGCTGCATTATCAAAAGGATTCGGTTGGTTTACCTCTACCGTGAGTAAGACTGCCAAGACGGTAAATGATGGTTATATCCAACCGACCGCCAAGCAAGTATGTCCCCCTGTCCCATCACTTCAAACAAAACTCTCTCTGAAGCCGAATCTGGGAACATTAACTTTTGTGATGTAATAGTTGGCAGAAGGCGACTTCGCGAAACAAGCCCAACTCACAGCCTCCCAATTCGCAAGACAAGCCCAAATGGCCGGAAAATCCGCACAGGAAGGATTCAACCGCTTCGTCGAGGGTAACGACAGCAATCACAGGAGAGAGGCGCCACTAGATGCGAGCCGTAAAGACTTTTGGGATGATTTCTCAAGTCTGGCAGAGCAGAAGAAGCAAACGAGCAGTTCGATTGGGACAAGCGCCATGGGGATGGGAAAGAAAGGCTCTAGCGCCGCCCAGCCCACGAAGAAGGCAGATGATTGGGATGACTGGTGATTTAGTCACGGGGGTAGCTGGGGGCGTTGATTGGAGTATGCGCGGCTGTATGTTAGCCAGCTATGATGATTTATCTATTCTTCAGTTCCGAGTGTGTGTAATAGTCGCTTGGGTGTGGGATGGTCTTGTACCAGAGCCGGTCAACACGAACGCCAGGTCAGCTGAGGAGCAGATGGTGGTGGCACTTTGGAGGCAAATTCATCTTGCAAGACTAAGAATCCATTGAAGCAGAAAGCCACATGTGCATGGTCTGCAGTGTGCCCGGGTGGTCGCAAAACATCGTCCACGCCCCTCTATGCCATACCAAGGAAATGAACTCGAAGCCGGCCATCCATCTCTTACCCCGAGTCTGGTTCTCGCTTTGCCTATCTCCTCGGGCCGCAGCCTCTAGTTGTGGAAATACCAGCGCTTTCTGTTCTCTTTCACTGATTTATTTGCCATAGGATATGGAGCGGACGAAGGCAGCAGCGCGGTGTGACCATGCGATTGTTGTGCTGAAACTCTCAATCGCAACCCAATTTCACATACAGTTTGCACTTAGTTGTCCAGACTCGCTACGCGATGCAAAACCTACCAATACGCCACCCCTATGTCAGCATGGATAATCACTTACGATATCACATCCAGCAATTTCTTCTGATCTCGTCCGCATCTCGAGAGACAGGCTCCCAAGGCGCGTGGCGTTTGCTTCCCGTCCGGGTTGTACCTGCACAATCTTTGACATGGGGATCACGTGACTCGGGCGGCCGAGGCTGGAGCCGGCCCTAGCCGGGACTACTCGGTCGACCGCCATGATAGGACCACGGCTGTAGGCCTTTGCCTCTTGCAACTCCTCCACATAGCCATTGATTGCAACAGTCGCCATGTCTGCTCTAAGAATCCTCGTTCCCGTCAAGCGGGTGATTGATTATGCGGTATGGAGCCCTTTCTACGCGGCATCTAAATCGTGTAGCTTTTCCCTATGAATGGCAGCTAACAGTCCCTTCTTTTGTCCAACTATAGGTCAAACCCCGGGTCAACAAGGCGCAGACGGCTGTCGAAACCGCTGGCGTCAAACACTCCATGAACCCCTTTGACGAATTATCTGTCGAGGAGTCTGTTCGCATCCGCGAGAAGAAACGAGCCCCCGGCGGCGTGGAAGACATATGCGCCATATCCGCCGGCCCGGCCAAGGCCCAAGATATTCTGCGAACAGCAATGGCCATGGGCGCTGACCGCGCTATCCACGTTGATGTCAAAGAGGGCGACGATCTGGAACCCCTTGCGGTCGCCAAGCTACTCAAGAAGGCCGCGGAGGAGCAGAAGAGCAATCTCGTCATACTCGGCAAGCAGAGCATCGACGATGACGCCAATCAGACGGGTCAGATGCTTGCCGGTCTACTGGGCTGGCCCCAGGCCACCCAGGCAAGCAAGATTGAGTTTGGCGAGGGCGACAGCGTCAGCGTGACGAAAGAGGTTGACGGTGGTGTTGAGACCATTCGTGCCAAGCTGCCCATGATTATTACGACGGACTTAAGACTCAACGAGCCCCGGTACGCGAGCTTGCCTAACATTATGAAGGCTAAAAAGAAGAAGCTGGATAAGAAGACGTTGAAGGACTTTGGATTGGAAAACGAGAAGCGCCTCAAAGTGCTCAAGGTTTCGGGTAAGTGCTACGTTCTGGGGGGTGGGGGGTTGAGACGAAATGATTGCTAACGAGTGTTGTAGAGCCTGCGCCTAGACAGGGTGGCGGCAAGGTGGAGGATGTTGATGGCTTGATTGGCAAATTGAAAGAGTTGGGTGCATTGTAAAGGGTTCAAAGCAAAAAAAGATGTGTTAGAACATGTAGCATTTGACTGCCGGCTGGGATGCAAAGCTTGCGCCAAGACAATAGACCCAAAGGTCCTGTACCAAAACTACCTGTTTGTTTGTAAATGGTGCTACACGTGAATATAGAATTGCGTCACGCCGCGTTTGCAACATTGGCGGGAGATGGCCATGTGAAATGCAACTATTGACAACTTGGTCTTTGCCTTCATTTTCCTTGGCAGGCCAATCAACAAGTTTACGTCGGTATGGTGTAGTATCCAAGCAGCCCGGAATTTTGCGCTTTCTGGGCGCATTTGTGCAGAAGCGAGTTGCCGAGAAGGTGTCAATGCATACATGTACAATGACATGCTGGTGGTTAATATGATGCCAATGACTAGCATCTCCTCCCGCCTGGAGTAGACGGTGACACAAACACCCCCACAGTTGTCATATGCTGACTACAAGAAAGTCGCGTTTGCAGCTACAGTAGGATCGAGATGTGGATTGCTGGCGCGAATAACAGCGGCGACACTTGAGGAAAGCCGATGCAGAGCATGCTGTGACGCCTTTGCAGTGGAACACAAAGACAATTGAATCCCTGATGTCTTGAGGAAAGTCGATGCAAGGCATCCTGTGACGCCTTTGCCGTGGAACCCAAAGACGATTCAATCCTTGACGTGCCCCTTTCGACAAGGATGTGGCATCATGGGCTACAGCAACTTTTGAACGATATCGGCGAGGGCCTTGGTCACACTTCCCAAAGCGGTCAAGCACATTTCCTCTCCCCACCACCACTTTCGCCCCGGCCTCACCAGACAATAGCGCCCGCGGGGCCGTGAGGCTCCCCCAATGCAGCCAAAAGTCCAACTGGACAGCGGAAGTTACAGCGCTCGCCGGCAGCCCAATGGCGCAAGGGCCAGGTGCAGGTGCGGACCAATCAGGAAGCGTGGTAAGCAGCCGCCAGCGGAACACCTCGCAGCGACGAGACATTGAGCAGTTGGCCCGTGTGGCTCAATTTTTTCTGTCCTCTGCCCGCGTCACCATCCCTCCCGCTCTTTCTTCTTCCCTTCCTCTTCCCCTCAACGGTCAGCAAGTCAAATCCCCAGCTCTCATCTTTCCAAGTCCGCGACAGCGTACACCGCAATTTATAAACCTCTTTTACTCCCAAGAGCGCCATTGTGCCTCAGATTCTTGTTCTCGTTGAACAGTTGCGTCTGAATCCGCCCTTATGAACGGGCGCCCGTCAGTCTTCACCTCTCAGGTACGTAGCCGCAATCGGCTGGTCCTCTCTCTACGCCCCAAGTTTGCACCGTCCTGCCTCTTTCTTTGGCTGCACCCGGCTGTTGCAAGGCGAGTAAAACTCGTCTCTCCCTTGCACCTGTATTCCATTGGCACAGATACCTTCTTGTCTTGCTTGCCGCCATTGTTTATTCTCCCATGGCCAGCATGGCAATTCAGTTGTGACGGAATCTTGAGTACTGACGCTTTGTTGACAGGATTATCTCTCTGGTTCGTCAGATCTGAGACACCGCTACATCCACCCACCCCCAAACTGACAATTGACAATGTAGACCACCTCTGGAAGTCCCAGTCATCCTAGGTTGACCTTCCTTGACCTCGACATTCTCTAGCTGCTCTCTTTATCCAAACTACTATCTGTATTCCGGATTGCCATGTTCTCTCGACTGGCAATTAACCTCGCCAAGCCGGCGTTTAAGCCGGCGGCAGCCATGACGCCTCGAATGGCCATTCAACTCCGATTTATATCCCAGGCTACCGCTGGAAGTACTGGCAGGAAGATGCCTTCCAAGCCCACCAAGAGCACTGCTCCCGTTGAGTCGGTGCCTGCTACCTTCACCATTCGAGTATGTTGCTAAATTTGTGTCGTGTGTTGCTATTGCGAAATTATTGCTGACTTGCTTAGGATGGCCCTGTCTTCAATGGCACGGCTTTTGGTGCTAATGCCAACATCTCGGGTGAAGCTGTCTTCACCACCTCTCTGGTCGGTTACCCGGAGTCCATGACTGACCCGTCGTACCGTGGCCAGATTCTGGTTTTTACCCAGCCGCTCATTGGCAACTACGGAGTGCCCTCCAACGAGCGAGACCAGTACAACCTTCTCAAGCATTTTGAGTCCCCCCACATTCAGTGTGCTGGCGTTGTCGTTTCTGATGTAGCTCTCAACTACAGCCATTGGACTGCTGTCGAGAGTCTGGGCGAGTGGTGCGCCCGTGAGGGTGTCCCGGCCATTTCTGGCGTCGATACTCGTGAGATTGTCACTTTCCTCCGAGAACAGGGATCCTCGCTTGCTAGAATTTCCATTGGCGAAGAATACGACGCCGACGAAGACGAGAGCTTCATCGATCCTGGCCAGATCAACCTCGTCAAGCGTGTGAGCACCAAGGCTCCCTTTGTGGTCGAGTCTCCCGGTGCCTCGCTCCACATTGCTCTTATTGATTGTGGTGTCAAGGAGAATATTCTCCGAAGCTTGGTCAGCCGTGGTGCCTCTGTTACCGTCTTCCCTTATAATTACCCCATCCACAAGGTTGCCCAGCACTACGATGGCGTCTTCATCTCCAACGGTCCCGGCGACCCAACTCACTGCCAGGAGACTGTCTACAACCTGGCCCGTTTGATGGAGACTTCTTCCATCCCCGTCATGGGCATCTGTCTTGGCCACCAGCTCCTGGCCCTTGCCGTTGGTGCTCGTACTATCAAACTCAAGTATGGCAACCGCGCCCATAACATTCCTGCCCTCGACTTGACTACGGGACAATGCCACATTACCAGTCAGAACCACGGTTATGCCATTGACGCTAGCACTCTGCCCAGCGACTTTAAGGAGTACTTTGTCAACCTCAACGACGGCAGCAACGAGGGTATGTTGCACAAGACCCGACCCATCTTTTCTACCCAGTTCCACCCGGAAGCCAAGGGTGGTCCAATGGACAGCTCATACCTCTTTGAAAAATATCTGGATAACGTCCGTCTTGCAAAAAGCAAGGCACTAGAATATAGGGACAACCGCCCTAGCCAGTTTATGCTGGATGTGCTGAGCCGAGAACGTGTTGGTGTTGAGCCTGTGCCTCTTGCCAGTGCCGCGTAAAAAACACGTTAGTCGCAGGTCTTGAAGTGTAAGGGAATGGCGTTTTGATTTAAGTTTGGCTACGTGTTTACTAGGCAGATTGTCTTGAAATGAATACAATTAAGTACAACGATTATATAGTCGGCTCTAGACAATTAGTGATGTATCCTTTTCGCGACTGTCCCGGCACGATTTGTTGGCGGCAGATATGAAGCGTAACGGCACCCAGTAAATGACGAAATCCACGGCTCCAAGAGGTCGCCGTGCTTGTAACATTTTGCAACCAAAGCCATGTTACTTAGCTCGGACATCTTAGCTGCTAAGGGCCCGTTACTGTTCAACGCTCAACGCTGGGTTGCTCATTTCGAGTTAGAAGATTTTGTACCTTGCCACTGGTCGGCTGAGATTGGCCTGGAGTTGATAGCCGGTGCTGTTTTCGCAAGGCTGCCAGCTAGTAGTAGTTACTCGTTAGTCAGTCCCCTGGGAAGCAGCTGACAGCAGGGGCGGATATCACGGCAGAGGAACGCGCCCAAGCTCGTCATCGCTGGGTAGCACGAGAAATGCAGTCATCACCGCTGCCGCTCTGATGGTCTCTCCCCCTGGGGTCCAGCTGCCAATATTGTCTGTGCCATCGAATCCGGGTAAACCTGTGGAAGCGCCCGCTTCGTCTCCCACCCCCCGGCTCCTCCTCTTAAAGGTCAACTGGTATAATAAATAGCCTGGCTCGTCTTGACTGACGAATGGTCCTTTGTGTCTTTGTCTGCGGGCTGTTCATGTATCTGCCCTGGACATATTCGGCGATGCGTCTCCTGCTCCTGCCGCTGTTTGCTTCCGCCGCTGCGGTACAGGGCGTCGTCTCTGTACGTTCATGAACCTACTGCGTGGAAAATGGTTGCTCGTACTTATAAGTGAAAGGCTACGGTGTACAGTCAGCCTAATTTCGGGGGGGTGTTGAGAAACGTCATTGGGTTCGGGTGCGTGAACCTCGACGACGTGTATGTACTGCCGATGGAAGATGCTTGTTTATAATTTTGGAACTAGTTTGAGCTTTGTGCTGACTTTACGCAGGGGGTTCAAGATTGAGAGCATTGAGCTGCGGAGTCGGACGTTTTGCTATGCCTACGGGTGAGTGAGTTCTGTTTGGTTTGGCGGTTCGAGTAGATGGCTAAAGGGGGAAATAGCAAGGTGAATTGCGCGGGGGCGAGCGTTTACATGTCCAGAAGCGTCGGGGACTTGTGGAGGTATCTTACGACGGAATCGGCTCATTGCTTTGATGCTTCATTGGTGGTTTCTCAGCTGGACGATTATTGACTTGGTTTGTTTCTGGGGAGACGGGACACAAAGTGTGGTGTGGGTATTCGTTTTCTTTGGGACTTTGTATATTCTGGTATTTAGCGTTGCTGGCTGGTTGCGCCTGCGCTCTATGGTACAATACATTGCTTGATTTCATCGAAATGGAATCAAATGGCCTCCTTTCCTGACCGCCCCTCGACGGCGTTACAAACCGGGTTTGTTGTACATTGTGTTCCTAATGTCTTGAGATGGCTGTTTCGGAAAACCTCCACGTTTGGATGGTAGGGATATGCTCCATTTTGCAAGTGAAGAGGTCTACGCGGGTTGTTCCTAGAGCCGGCGTCGGTCGTCTTCGTCCCTGCCTCCTGCGCCGGGAATATACCGATCACTTCTTGGGCGGAAACCACCTCTGGTTCTTCCAGGGCCTCTACCTCGTCCACCGCCGCGACCGCCTCTCTCTCTGTGGGGAGGACGGATGCCTTCGAAGATTTCACGGCCTCGGTCGACAAACGAGTCTGAATCTTCAAAGGAATATCTGTTGATTTCGCGGCCCAAGTCTCGGTTCAGGTCGCGCGTGTAAAAGGCGCGCATGTTTTGGACGCGGCGGCGGGCAAGATCCTCCGGCACAAGATGGTATGCCAGACTTGGACGGGCACGGGTAAATTGTGCCTCGCCGGATGGGGGATGCGGTGCAGGTGGTGGCTGCTGGCGTCGAGGACCACGGGGACCAGTTGGCGGAGCCGAGTCTGTGAAGGTGCCTCTGGGACCGAGGGGGGCAGAGTTGATGCTGTCTGGTGCTGGCGCCGGTACTGATGCTGCCACGGGCGCGGGCTTCGTGGGCGGAGGGGGACGACTGCTGGATGACGAAGAGACAGAGTTTGAGACGAGGTTTGCCTCCATGGTGCTCCCGTCGGCGGCGGGGGCGTAGACGACTTCCCATCGATGACTGGGCCGTCTGCCACCTTGTTCCTCCATGTCGATCCAGGAGTCTATCTTTTCGGGTGGTATGAAGTCGATTGACAGTGCTTTGCGGTTGCTTTCGTTGGGCCAGACGCGGCCGTGCAGCAGCTGGCGAACACGCGAGGCAGCTGATACGGATTCCAGTGCCACAAAGGCGTGCGTGCGAATGAAGTCGAGGTAGAACTTGGTGACAATGTCGTCAGTGGAGCTTGTGCCTGGCGTGGAAGCGAGGGCGACTATGTGTGCGCGGAGCTCAGCCGGCCGAAGAGGTCGCATGAGGTTGTTGATGCAGAGGGCGGAGGTGGCCGGGTGCATCGAGGGTTCGACGTGTCGGTCGTAGTCTACCTCTGCCTCTGGGGCATCGTGGGCCTCGGCCGGGAAATGGTTGAGTTGATATGACCTGGGAGCAAGCCCGGGGTCTGCTCGAGCCCGTTTTCTGGCAACGTCTTCCTCCTTGGGCGTGGGACTGGCAGAGCGCCGTTTGCGCTTTTGCGCTTCGGCTGGAGCTTCGACGGCCGGGTCTTGGATGGGCTGTTGATCCATGGGAGTGTCGCTACCTGCGGGTTGAGGGTCTCGAGACGGAGGGCTTGGTTCGGGCTGTGATTCTTCCTTTTGTGCCGGTGCAGGAGTTGGCTCTTGTGTCGTCGCCGGAGGTTGAGGAGGCGTTTGCTCTGGTTCGGCTTCTGGCGCATCCTGTGTGACGGATTGTCCATCTTTGGTCTGCCCCTGCACCTCGTGCACCTCCTGTTCCTCCTCTGCCTGACTGGCGGCATCGCCATTGATAGGCTGCAAAGGTTTAGACTCAACTGCCGGCGCCTCATTATCCATCTGCTTTTCAGCATGCGGCTCTGGTTCTGGCTCGGGCTCCGGCTCTGGCTCGGGCTCCGGTTCGGGCTCCGGTTCCTTGGTCTCTTGATCAGCCTCTTCCAGTCGCGCAACAAGCTCTGTCTTCAACCCTCCTTGAGGGAGACCTCGTCGCTTTAGTTCGGCTTTGAGGTCGACGACCTTGAGCTTAGCCCAGTCGGCCATGGTGCGTGAGATTTGGGCCGCCAACGGGGTAGTTCAGCGCATTTGGGGTGACGAGGCCGTTGAATGACGTCGCTTGTCGCAAGGGGCAGACGAATGCGATGATTTGCGCCGAGAGCTCTGACGGACTATATTGCGAGCAGACGTATATGTGGCAGCCAAGGTGACATGAACGCCCCCTCAAATTGATGGTTTGGATGATGTAACGCTGCGGTGGCACGAATTTTGATGCGCAGGCAAAAGAATGAAGAAAAAGATGTAGGTCGCGACGCGCCAGCTTGGTGGAGGGAGAGCGGGCGTGGGGTCAAAGCATGTTGACATGTCTTGGTTGCGAACCGGGGTCTTGGACTCCTGCGGACAGGACACTTGGCCGCATCGGGACTAGTGCACTGATCTGGATCTGATGATTGTCGAACTTTGACGACACAACATTTCCATTTGAACATTGGAGTCATACGCTATTCCTCGACGGGCGATGTAGAATTTATTGACTATGCTTAGAACAGGGGAGTAGAAGACGAGGAAGCCGGCGCCGTGGGCTACACCCTGGGCCAGGATGAGGGTCTCGACTGTCGAACAGAATCATGCGAGGACAATGCCGGCAATGCAAAGAGCCCATGCGCTTATTAGAAGAGACAGCAAGTTGCATACCAAGTTCGGAGGCTCCGAGATGACTAGTTGACAAGACGACCTACAGCTCAAGGATATGATTGCATGTTGATATCGACGATGGCGCTTGATCAAGGGAATCACAAAGGGGGCGCCGAGGTAGGATATGCCCGACGCGACTGTTGCTACGATGGTGATGTAACGATTTCCGGGGAGTTCAGATAGACATGTTCTGTATGCCTCTTACACCTACTTGCTATCCCGGAGTACCTGTGCAGACACGACAGTACCCTCATGTCTCTCTATGCAAAGCATACATGCATCTCTAAGAAACGAGCGTCACCCGCGTTTTTCACTCAAAAACTACCATTCATCTCGGTAAGATGTAATAGCAATAATATTATTATTCCCGCACCATGTTAAACTCTCACAGGGACATACATACTGGACACGCCACCACACAGGCTCAGTCTCGTTTCGACTTGACAAACGCACTCCCCTCCAGCCAGCGGCCAAAGTCCTTGACGTCAGGGTTCATCTCCCTCACAGCCGCAATGTCTGCGCCGTAGCCCTCCTTCTCAAAGAAGTTGAACATGGTCCTCAGCTCGACCGAGAGCCGCAAAACAAGCCACGCGACGAACCCAAACGTGGTCGGCGGAGGGGCGCCCACCTTTTCCCTAAAGACCTTTTCCATCTGCGCAAACGACAGCTCATCCCCCGCCAGCGAGATGCTCTTGCCTGCGAACCTGTCGGGCTCCAGGAAGGACATGGCGGCAAAGGCGCCAATGTCCTCGGTCGCTATGAGCTGGAGCGGGCGGGACTTTAGCGCGTCCCGCCAAGCCGTTGCGAAAAGCTTGCCGATGAACCCCGGCGCAAAGTTGTCCATGAAGGCGACTGGCCTGAGGATGGTCCAGGACATGGTGGTGTTTTGCGCCTTGTCGATGAGATGATGCTCGATGTTGTGCTTGCTTTTGAAGTGCGGGACGTCGGTAGGGTTGTCGATGGACTTGGCGCCGTGGCGATCCACGGACGTGTACACAAAGTGCTTCACGTCGTGCTTGATGGCCGAGTCGACGAGCGACTTGCCCTGGGCCTCCTCGATGCTGGGGCCGGATTTGTTCATCGGGGCCAACTGCGCGGGTCGATTAGTACAGTCAAGTGCTATTTATCGAGTTGTGCTCTGCGCGCTGTACCTGGACGCTGAAGACCCCCCATATGGGTGCCTCGGTTGCCTTTTTGGCATTCTTGAAAATGGCCTCGGTGTCGTCTAGGTTTCCTTGGACAAGTGTGACCTTGGGGGACGCGGCAGCCAGTTTCTTTGCTCCTGGCGAGGTCGTGTCTCTTGTGACGGCGAGGATTTGAAAGTCGGCGTTTTTCGCGAGCAGGGACGTGATGACGCTGCCGCCTTGTTTGCCGGTGGCTCCTGTTATCAGCAGCGCGCGCGACATGTCTGTTTGTCTGGAATCTGGATGGATCGTGTGGCGATCAAGCGTGCGATGTGGAAGAGCGGATGGAGGCGAGGGTGAAGACGATGGGCTCAAACGAGCGCTGTCGCCGCGCTGTTGCCCTCATCCTTTATACTCTGGCCTTTTTCTTCTCATGCCACGCGCATCGCGGTGATTAGGAAGCCTCTTACAAATGCGGCATTTGAGTTCCACTGAAGCCAGTTTATCGCATCTCGGCCTACGAAAGAATGCCGAAAGGTGGGGACCGAATGGCCGCCTCCATCAGCGGCGTATGGCGAACGTCACCTTGGACTCGGATGATTGCTAAGCATGAGTTGAGACGCACCAGACCGCACGCAACTCTGGTGCGGTTGTCCTAGGCGCAGTTGGAAATGGAGCATGCAACAAACTTGCCAAATCTCGGGACGACTCTTGATTGTCCAGCGTTGGGCACAATGTCCGCTGTTGTGTCTTGTCGCATGCACCTTGTCTCATGACCTTTGCATGGCGATTCTCCAATGTCGCCTTTGCATGTTCTCGCCATGATTCGAGGCCTGGGGTCTTTTGAGTGACGGGCCACTCATACAGCCAATTGTAAACTGAAACAAGTGACGGAGTGGGATCTAAGGCCGGCACCAGTTTGGCTCGGGTGACCAGAGTTCCTTGTGCAAACATGGTGTTTTGGATCCAGACGAACAAAGACGTAGGCATGTCCCAGGCTGAATCGAGCCGTGGACCGTGCCAGAAGCATGTCTTTGAGAAGCAGCGGGAAGCACCGACAGCAGATTTAATGACAAGGCTCGAAGAACTTGACCACGTGTAGAAGGCTTTCAAAAAAAAAAAAAAAAAGCTTGGTAGCCTTTGTATAGTCTCCTCGCTTGTCCTGGATCTACATCATTGTGCGCAGGCCACGTTGGATGGGGTGCTGAATGGCGGCATCGGCTGTCACGCGCTTCTCACAAAAGCCAATTTGGACACAATGGAGAAATGATGGAAAATGAGCAGAGCAGAGCACGCAAGCGGCAAAGGTCGCCCATGTACTCTTGAAAGCGAACGCCCTTGCTCGTCATATAAATAAGGGGGCGACGATCCGAGCAGAAGCCAGTCATCTGCCATCCACAATTTGTTCTCCGACCACAATACCCAACCTGCATCTTACTATTTGAATCATTCCGCGCTCAGAATTTAAGAACCATGCGTCTTGCGATTTTACTCGGTTTCGCTGCTGCCACCGTCTCGGCCCTGCCTTTCCTGGGTTTGTTTCCCCTTCCCATCGTCGATGACATCTTCCCGGACTCTGGCCAGGAAAAAAACAACTCGGCCGTGACGAAGTTCAGGAAATTCGTTTGAAGAAACCCCTCCATCTATAGTCGTGAGTGGTCCATTTCATCATACTTGCTACCGGGAGACCAACAGACTAATGTATCATGCTCGTAACTAGCCTCCCATACGCCTAGATCTTTACATACATGGGGTTCTTATACGACGAGGTATAACGTTTCCTCTGATTGGATCGAAATATGCTCTTTTAGCGTCTGGTTGGCTGCGGCCTTGAAATGACCGTTGTACGACGATGGGAAAGAAGCTGCTTTGCGGGCATTCGGGCATGCCACCGTGGGAGGTTCAGGGACACGAGTCACACGACTTTCTTTTGGACATGGATAGCATGGATAGTACATCGATCGTTTTTGTCTTCTAGTCTATGCCTCGCCATCTTTGCTTAAAACAATAGTGATGACACCAGCTGGACTGAATCATGAATCACTACAGACCCAGTCTCTTCGATAGGGTTGTGCTTTACACGTTTCTAGACGTTGCCGTCAACTCTGTGCAGCGGACGGTGCTGTAGGAATACCAAGCCAGTTGTTTGACAAGACGCCCTCGACTCTGATCAAAAGGGTCAATTAGGAATTCTATATATTCCCCGGCGTTCAAGCCTGGCCCTGTACACATATCCACCAGACGCTACCGCCTACACCGACGCAGTGTAAACGAGCTCCCCCTCAAACCACGTCCTCCGCACCTTGGCATCCGTAAACGCGCCGGGCTCCCCCAGGCTCAGGTCCCGATCCAGCTCGATAAAGTTGGCCCGCTTGCCCACCTGGATGCTCCCCGTCTCCTTGTCGCGCCCGACGGCCTCGGCGCCAGCCAGGGTCAGCATGCGCAGCACCATGGCGGCCCCCTTGGCGCGGTCGCCGGACCCCACGCCGTCGAGGATGCCCTCCAAGCCCGGCAGCAGGTCCGGGGACTCGGGGACGCCCCAGTCGGAGCCGATGGAGATGTGCGCGCCGTGGCGGAGCATCTGCGGAAAGTTCCAGTCCTGCAGGGCGTCCTCTTCCGGGCTGAACGTCTGGCAGAAGAAGACGGACGGCGACATTTCCGCCGTGGTGTTGAGCGGCCGAAATCGAGGGTACTCGTCTAGATAGAGGGCAAGGTTAGCAGATACGGAGCAGGTTGGGACTTGAGTAGACGCGCTCTGAACAGAAATGGTGACGAGAAAAAGAGACATACCGGGATGCACCCCCGAGCAGTGCGCAATTTCGTGCCGGGGCCCGTTGGGGTTCCGTGCCCGCGCGGCCTCAATGGCGTCCAAAGCCAGACGGGTGGCGCCCTCGCCCGTGCAGTGAATCTTGCACGTCATTCCTCGCTGGTCATACCGCAGGACGGCCTCTTGCAAGTCGTACAGAAACAGCTTTTCCTGTTCCACGTTGCCGTCTTTATCCAGGCCCGCCTGCGTAAAGTACGGATCCAGAGGGATGCCGTCGAGTATGATCTTGACGAAGCGCGTATCGACGTGCTGCGTCTTGAACGACTCGGCCCGGTCCAGCAGCTGGATCAGTTCGGGCTGGGACTCTTCGGCGATAAACTCCGGGGCATAGACGATGTGCGTGTACGCGTCCAGCTGCAGCTGGCCGTCGCGGTCCATGTCGCGCAGCGTGCTGAGCAAGAGCGTGTTGGTGGCGGCCTCCTGGCACGACGTCACGCCCGCCTGGTGCAGGCGATGGACCGCGTACTTGAGCGCGCGCCGCACATGGGCGACGGGAGGCTTGGGACAGGCAAGGAGCGCCTTGGTCGTGGCCAGCTCGGCGACCTCGCCGTTGAGGGATCCGTCGGGTCGGCGCCCGACATACGCCCCGTTGGGGTAGGATTCGTTGGCGAGGTCGTAGCCGGACTCGCGGAGGGCGACCGTGTTGAGATGAAGACTGTGCCCGGCGCCGGCGCGGATGATGACGGGCGTGTCGGGGTATTCCTCGTCGAGATGGGCGCGGTCAAAGTCCTTGATGCGGAAGACGTCGGCGCTCAGCCATCTGGACTTGTGTCAGAAACCAACTGCCTGCTCTCTTGCGCTCTCCAACGAGACGCCATTCATCATCATCACTCTCATCGTCTTGCGCGTCTCGTCTTCTCCCGCGGCACTCTCCCACAAAAGCTTACCGGCCAAAGGCGTGCGCATACTCACAGCCGCACGAGGAGCTCTTGAGCTTTTCCGTCGCCTCGGACATGGGCATGATTTCGTCCAGGCCCAGGTGGATATTGCTGAAGTGAGAGAGGCCGGCCGTCAGGAGATGCACATGGGCGTCGTGAATGCCCGGCATGACGAAGCGCCCTTGCAAGTCATGCACAACCATGCCATGTTGGCGCGCGGCGGCCACGATGGTGTCAGTTGAGCCCACGAGGGCAAACACGCCCTCGGCTGACACGATGAAGGCCTCGGCCCATGTCTGGTTCTCGTCAACCGTGAAGACGCGGCCGTTGATGTAGGCGGTGGCGTTTTCGAGGCCGGCCGTGGAGGGATGCGAAGCCATTGGGTTGGAAGAGGGTTTCACGTCCTTCACACCACGTTGCTGGTTTCATGCCACTTTTGCTGGTCGTCTGCTTCGAATCCCGGCCGCAATATATAAATATGCTGCGGGGAATCCTGCCTCTTCCGAAGTTCCGAATGCCGGCAGAGCCAGAAACAGCAACATGGGCGTATCGGCGTCGACCAGTCCGGCGGTCTTGATAACGCACCCCATCAGCCACACCCCGATGCACTTGGAGACACGAAATCTGCGACGGCATGGCCAAGTCTGTGACTCGCGGGGTTTCCGTGCGGGGAAATATCCCACCTGCCTAGTTCTGCAGATAGGCATGGGCGCCAGGGGTTCCGAATTCCGGAACGGGCCTCTTGATGACCTGCGGACGGAGCACAAAACTATGCGGGCTCCGTGATTTGCCATTGACGCCACAATTGCCATGTGCGGGCGGACATCAGTTCCACGGGCGCACACAACTTTAGCTGCGGCCGGTGCATGGTGGCCGCGTATATTGTTGTATTTGCGGACAAAAGGATGTCAAAGCTTCAAGACACGCCGCACGTGGTGATGATACTGTCAAACGGGAAGGAAGGATGACAAATATCAATTGCATTGAGCTCTTGCTTGTGCTAGCTATGAGGCTGATGTGGGGGGCATCGCAGGAGGCTGAACCCCCATCACGTGACCACCATCAAGAGCTACCACCGCCGAGTGGGACGTATCAAAAGTTTACCACCTACACTACGAAAAGCGGAGATCATTCCTTGGAGTGCAAGGGCTTTATTTTGCATTATGTATCACAGGACGGAGTGCGGAATCAAGTGGAAACGAAATCGCGCCTCAAGACTGTTTCAAGTATGACCGGCATTAAGAGATGGGCATGGGAAAGTTCAACAAGATGCCTCTTCAGGAAGCCGTTGTAAAGCGGCACCACATGGGCATGGGTTGCTACCCTGCAGCGCAAGTTTACAGAGTCTCTGATGAGAAAAACGACTCCAAGTCAAACTCCTTCGACATGGCTCTGCCATTGACCTCGACACTTGGTGCAAAGGTATGCTTCTGTTCAAGATGCCGGGCGATCCATGCACAAGACAAACGGGCTCTTGTAAATGATGAGTTTAATCATCATCAGTTGTAGGCAAGATATCTATCTATCCATATATGTATATATATGCTAATTTCAGGATACAAGCACTAGAACCGCAG